ATCTCGCCATTTATTTTTCTAGCTATTCTGTTTCATAGATCACAACTAGGGGGGGTTGTGGGCCCCCCTATTACACAAATTTGTGTGGTCGTCTGAACGGCGATGCACCCTGGTTCCCTTGCTTTTCTGTGCTCGTTGAAAATATAAACACTTTTTTTTTTTAAAGATCCTGGAGCTGGACATCTCGGAGATGGACATCGAGAAGGAGCACGCGGTGCAGCTGCAGCGCTGGATCGAGTCGCGCGGAGAACCGAGCCACTCGTCGACGCACCGCCTGCACGGGGCTCGCGCCATCCGCCAGGAGCTCGAGTTCCAGCGCGAGGCGCTGCGCTTGGCGCGGCGCGCCCACCACAAGGAGACGACGGGCTACTCGCCGCCTCCCTCGCCGACGCCGAGCATCACCAGCACGCTCAGCACGCTCAGCACCCTCAGCACCATGAGCCAGAGGCGTGGCAAGAGTGAGTTGGCGCCCCTACCCGCCCGCGCCACCTGTAAAGTTGTTACGATTTAGCCTGACCTTTTAACATTCTGATCTTGATAATAAACCAAATCTATCTGCGTATTCGCCCACGTGACAACTTGATTGGATTGGCTTTCTCAATTACCTGAATTGTGAATTAATTGGATTAACAATCATGCCCTTTGAGATGAAGCGGTGGTGAAATCTGGTCAGACAACTTCCATGGCCAACACGGCTTAGAGAGGCCTTCTTCCAGCATTGGAATGGCAAGGGATATAAATTATTTACTTTATAAATCCATATGCTAACCATAACCATTTACAAATGTTTACTGCCCTATTTACTGTGATTTCATTGTCTTGCAATGTCAACATTTCATGATGCAAGGTTAGTGTGAGTGCCTTGTGGAGTTGAGTCCTGTGCAGTGAGATTGTCATGTACAGGAAGTCCTCGACATACAAACGCCTGACTTTCAAACACCCCCCGGACGCTAACTTAATATGCGAAGTTACACTTGCAAACTGAACTATAGAACTATTTTCTTCAGAGGAGCAATCCTTCACAATATGTAATGAGTCGGCATCGCGCTGGGAATGTTCGTGTGCATGTGTATGCACGCATGTGTGTCAAAATGTTGCGTCTTGCTAACGGCTAACACCAGTAACGATTATCTGAACTAGTCCTGAGCCTACCTAGGTCGATTCAGCCTCAAATGAGTACCCAGTGCGATGTGCAAACATCACGAGGGAGACAAAGGCGGTCGGGCGTGGTGCTGGCCACCCACTCGTGTACCGTTCCGGGCTTCATAATTACTACTCCCTAACAGCACTTGCTCCTACAGTCTAAGGCTATATGGGGGGGGGGGGGTCTTTGTGTGAGCGAGTGTGGGGAGGGAGCGATAATGCAATGGTTAGCTTGTTGTGCTACCAACCTGGCAACCAAAGTGTAATTATCTGAATAGGACCTGGGGCTCCCCTAGGTCGACTCAGCCTCAAATGAGTACCTGGTTCAGTGTGTGCGCTGGCCATTTACCCCCTCGTGTGCCGTGCCGGCCTTGATAATTGCTACTCCCAGTAGCACTTGCCCCGAACACCTGTTAAGGCCATACGGTGGTTCAGTCGTTGGGGTGTGGGGAGCAGTAGTGCAGCGGTTAGCGTGCTGCGCTACGAACCCGGCGAAACCGAGTTAAAATCCTGCTCACGGCCAACACCAGTGACGATTCTCTGAACCGGTCGTGGGTCTCCCCTAGGTCGACTCAGCCTCAAATGAGTACCTGGTCCGATGTGTAAATATCCCCACTGGGGAGACAAAGGCGGCCGGGCGTGGTGCTGGCCACCCACCCCCTCACGTGCCGTGCTGGCCTTCATAGGTGCTACTCGCTAACAGCACTTGCCCCAAGTCTGTTCAGGCGAAACGGGGGATCTTTGTCTTGTGTGCTTGTGGGGTGCGCGCAGTGCCCTGTGTGTGCAATTGTGGTGACTCATTGCCCCCCTTACGACAAGCAAGCCAGCATCAGGACTCAAGGTCAGTGAAAATATATATTTTTTCAGATATGTTACGTACTATAGTTTTTTTTAGTGTTGCATGCAAATGTACAATATTTAATTACGAGTTTAACAATGCTTCTCTTTGTTGGACTATAGCACATTTCATAACGCTGACTTATGAGCATTTAATTACAATGCATTGTTCCAACCTACGAACCGTTCGACTTACGAACGGCTCTCAGGAACGAATTAGGTTCGTAAGCCGAGGACTGCCCGTACTCACTACCACCATGCAGTGGGCAGCGAGTATGCCTTAATATTGAATAGCAAATTCCATGTGCGGTGAGCACCCCATGGTGCCTGTGTATTGGGTCCTGTGGAGTGAGTAGAGTGTGACGTGTGGAGGCATTGGCATGTCTGGTGAACTACGAAGTGGAGTTGATGCTTGTTTTGTGGTTTTGTCAGTATCCATGTTCCGGGAGAAAGAGCTCCAGCGCATCCTGCGGCACAGAGACAAGGAGAACGAGAAGGAGAGGAAGCGGATGGAAAAGGAGGAAGAGAAAGAGCGAGCCCGGTGGAGAGAGCAGGAGAGGCAGAGGGCAAAGGAGCTAGAAAAGCAGACGGCCAGGCAAAAGGAGCTGGACAGGCAGAGAGCGAAGGAGCTGGAACAAGAGCAAGTGAGAGAGAAGGAAATGGCAAAGAAAACCCCCAAAGGCAAGGAAGTGGAGGGCACGAAACAGAAAGGTAAGGAAAAGGAGGAAAAATCCAAAGACAAACCTTCGGCTGATCACATCGACATCCCCAAAATCAAGGTTACAGTGCCCGAAACGAGCAGCCCATCAAACGTGCAGCAAGAGCAGCAACAACGGTCATCCTCGCCAGTTGTACAAGACAAAATCCCAGGCACCCCGGAACCCAGAGTGGCGTCTCCGTCAACAAGCAAAGACAAAGTGAAGTTACACAGCGGGGGCATCCGCATTCCGCAAATCACACTCTCGCCCATCAAGGACGATAAAAAACCACCCCTCAGCCCGGCATCTGCCAAGTTCCGCGCAGCAGCAGCAGCAGCAATGCCAACTTCGCCAGGTGCCAGGCCTGGCTCCTCACGGGACATCTCTCTAGCAACCTCGCTGAAACCCGTTCATCCGGACCCCAACATCCCCGAGCCAGACCCCACCTCAGTGGTGCAGAGCACAGGACGTATTTCCTGTGCGATGGAGGAGACCTACCTCTGATTGCGCTTCATGGAACCCGAGTCCAGTTGTCACATTTTAAACAAGTGAAAAACACAATGAGTAGCTGCCGAAATTGGAGGTGAACACAAAAGGAATAAGGATTATGCTTTTGGAGAGACGGAGGTTTGGCCTTGGCTTTCGAGACAAAATATTTGCTCTGATCAAATTAGTTGAGCAAGGGACTGACAGTATTAGCAGTCATGAAGAGCTTTGGCTTTCGTGTGGACGTGGTTCCGACTTGCTGCTCTGAAACACTGAAGGGCGAATAGTTTTGTGCAAGTTTTTTTTTTATTCAGTGATTTTTATTGTAAAGGTCTTTTACATCTTGAGGTTTGCACATGTGACTTTAGGTCATCCTACTGATCCTAGACGGTAACGTTATTAAATGTGTGTAGCCAAGGGGTTTTTTTTTACTTTTCATTTTTTAATAAAACCAAGTTATACCCAACATTTAGATTTGAAATGTGTTGCATAAGCTTTTGCCATAAACATAGGTTATCGTTTCTGTTTACAAACTAAAGTGATCATTCAGAATATGCTTGCAACATCTAAGGATAGCAAAATCACCCAGGATGATGTAGATACCCACCCTGTCTGTGTGCCAGTTAACGACCTTGCATTCAGCCTATTGCTCGTGTTCCAGCGAGGGTTGTCCAAGCTTGCACGTGGTGGGATGAGACCTCTAATTTTCCAGTGCAAGTGTTTTTGACTTGTGATTACCAGATTTGAGCATTCTTCATAGCACGTGTAATTTCTCACCAGTGTGGAGGACTAGCATTGGTTTCTGTTTTCAGTGGTGTACAATTTTTAGAAGGCCAGACTTATGTCTCATTTGCCATGGTTCTAGTTACATTGGCACTTGTCAAATACTGTCTTCAATGTAACTGTTGGCACTATTGTTTATTTAATCTGATGGGAGATGAAATTTTATTTGAAATTAATAGAATTGTTTATTTACAAAAGAACAAATATTTAATGTTTTGGACACTAATGCAGCTTGGTGTCATGCTGAAAGGCCCAAATCTCATGTATATTGCTGTGTACTGTATATGAAAGTTACACAAACTGTAGACTATATATAGTATTGCAGGTAAATATGGGCCTAATTTCCATCTCTGAAGAGACCTCTCCACCTGGTGTTGGACCCAGCAGTGGAGTGTTGAGAAAATGGGAGCTCACCCAGTCCTTGCAGTTAAGGCCTCTTAAGTTGGGAATTGGTTCCAATGCCCATTTGACTGGAAGTAAAATAATATTGAAACATTTCATATCCTTTGCATTACTGGCTTTGTAGGGAAAATGTTAGCCAGTTGTAATTATATCCTTGGTTCTTTCGGTAAAGTCACGTAGAAGGGAAACAATAAAATAAAAATATAAAACAATACAATTCAAGACGTTTCAACTGCAACACAAGCAATCATTTTATTGTTTCCCTTCTTACGTGACTTTACCAAAAGAACCAAGAATATGAATCCCTGCAGTCACAAAAGCTTTAAATCGGTTGTAATTAGTATAAAAAAGGGACCAGCATTCACTTGTAAATGCACTGGACTGATTAGAATGAGATTATTTAATGTGTGCATACCACGATGGATCTGAACCCTTTAATTAAAGAAAACAATAAGAATGTCGTTTCGGTTTAGTTTCTGCTTGTATTCGCATTGCACAAAACAAATGTGTAAGTTACAAAGACAGCTCTGCAAATTCTATTGTGGAAGCTGACATGGCACAGTTCTCATGCAAGCACAGGTATGTACCTGTGGAACGCATGCAGTCAGTTTATCTGCGTGCACTTGCCATACTCATCTGTCAAAAGGTTAATTTATTCCACAGCATTTTTATTCGCAGAGCAAACCAAGTTGATACAAAACACTCCCAAACAAATATAACAAAAACAAACTGGCTATGAGGTGCATGTTCCAATGACCAGTTTTACCAAATTTGGGCCATATATGCTGCTCAGTCCAACAGATAACACAGGCTTGCTTTAAAACAGTCACCCGGATTAACCGAGGTGCAATTCCAAGAGCTTTACACAAACCGTGTAAATGGCACTTTGTGGCAACTAAATGTATTAACTTTTTCAGTCTACTATTTAAACAAGTCTTTCAGGAAGCAAGTTTAATATTATTGCCACAATCCACTCAGGATATATAGCCCAGGGCAGAAAATTACCTCTTCGTTTGGAATTTAAACATTGAACTTTCCCCCCCATACATTTAAGGCATTTTTGCACCTTGCCTAGACAAACAAAAAATGTTGGACTGTTAAAGGTAAGAGTTTAATAACTTGAGAAATGAACCACATGACGCATACAACACTTATCCAGAATCCGTCTACAACATAAAATAATCTCACATTGAGCAAATTGTTACAGTGGATAATCGATAATTCGCAATGCTCTACAAGTACTACAGCTTCCGCGTTTACTCAGGGCTGTTGCTAGTCATGTTTCCAACAGATTTTAAATACCCGAACCTTGCAAATATGTTAAAATTATTAAGCAAATACCACGCCTGTTGGCGGGGAGCATGTTTCATGCATTCTGAAAGCTGAAACTATAGTTCGTTGCTTTTGTAAGGAAGGGGAGTTTCAACGCTCATGGGATAGACGCCGTGTCGTGTGGTGGGCATGAACCAGCTGCAGTGGAGGAGAGGCCGGGATGCTGCCGCCTATAGAACTAGACCGCACGCGCGAGACGAGCTTGCCGGTGGTGATGCACACGGAGGTCACAGGTCATCTTCTTCGTCGGGCAAAGCGGTCGCCTGGGCAACCTGCACGAGAAACCACACCCGTGAGAACTGCGCAGCCATCCCAAATCATTGCATTAGCCCAGACTGCGTCCAATGTAAAAACGATCAGGTAGACGCTCACCCCACCACCCCCTCCTTACCTTGAGGTCTTCCTCGTACTGTGCCACCAGCTGGGGGTCCATCTGCACCTCCGGTGGGGCCAGCGCAGGCATGGCCACAAACTCCAGGTTGGGGTCTCCGATAAGCTTGCGTGCCAGCCACAGGAACGGCTTCTCAAAGTTGTAGTTGCTCTTGGCCGAGATGTCATAATACTGAATGGAAATTAAGAGATCGTCAAGCATGGCCTGCAACATTCCATGAACATGTTAGTTTAAACAAAGCAAGTCACGTGGTTTTTTTTAGCAGTATGAAATGTCATGTAATGACGCCATCTAATGTCACTGTCATCACTGTTGTACCAAATTTTTTTTATATTGAGTCATCTTTAAGAGCGTTACCATAATACTATGTCACAGCCAACCGATATATTCACTTTCAACTTTGGAAAGATTAGATAAACATTCCAGGAGCTGGCCATTACACATGTTCAGCAATGTACAAACCTGTAGGTTTTTCTTGCGGTGGAAGACAATGGCCTTGGCCTTTACTTTACGGTCCTTGATGTCCACCTTGTTGCCGCACAGGACGATGGGGATATTCTCACAAACCCGCACCAAGTCACGGTGCCAGTTCGGCACGTTCTTGTACGTCACACGTGACGTCACGTCGAACATGATGATGGCGCACTGACCTAGGGGAGCACACACTTCGTTAAAATGTGCAAGGGTCTTCAAGCTTAAACCAAAATGGTTGAATTTTCCAACTTAATAACATTTATTAGACGTGTTTAAAATGAAAGCATATTTTTGGATTTTCAAGCTCCACCGAGATTTTTCATTGAGTTCAGCCAAGTGCTTTTTTTCCTTTTTATAATAACACAGCTTCAAACTTTACTTGCAGTCTTCATGTTGTATTTAGTTTGACCCAACTCTCAATGGGCCTGCACATTTATACAACACTTTTCAATCTATTTGCAGAAGATGAAGTTAATATTGGAAACAAAAAGACAACACACCCTGGATGTAGTAACCGTCACGCAGGCCACCAAACTTCTCTTGGCCGGCTGTGTCCCACACGTTGAATTTGATAGCGCCACGGTTGGTATGAAACACCAGGGGATGCACCTCCACGCCCAGTGTAGCTGTGGAGAGAACCCGAAGTCAGCACTGATCACCCTTTTTCTCCCAATAGTGACATTGCTTTTGTGAGTACCACCTTAGTTGAGAACATCTTTTGTAGTTTCAATTTTCTGATGTGGCCAAGAAAAGTGAATTGTGATAAAACACTTTGAATGAGTTACACATACCATCACGAAGCAGTTAGTAACGAGCATCATGCGGCTCTGGAGCCGCAGGTTGCCGACCCGCCTTAGATGGTAACAATATTGGCTCTAGCCCATGGACTACGGGTTGAACACGACTGCAGATGCACTCAGCTAACAGGCAAATGCCTTCAGTAGAAAACTAACCCCATACTCTTTGGTTCTTTCGGTAAAGTCACGTAGGTAGAAAAATAATAGATCACGATGTTTCTATCGCAACCTAAGCAATCGTCATCAGGTGGGACAACCACAGCAAGACAAAACTGCTGAAGTAGGTTTTCCTTGTTGTGGTTGTCCCACCTGATGACGATTGCTTGTGTTACAATCGAAACGTCGTAATCTATTATTTTTCTACCTACGTGACTTTACCGAAAGAACCAAAGAGTATGGATTCCTGCAGTCACGAAAGCTTCAAATCAAGATTAACCCCTACCTCCTTCGACCGCCATCAATTTGACCAATTGTCAGAAAATGGGGTTGGTTTGATTTCATAATCTAGTAATTTTAACGATATTTGTAATACTTAGTTTTCATTTGTAATTATCAGCTTACTCAACATAAATTTCATAAGTTTTCATATTTTTACACAATAATTAAAACGTCATTTCTCAAGTAAAGCCCATTCTTTGAGCAAAGCAGCCCTTTTTCGAGAGGCAACTCGGTGCATCACGAACATTAGAATCGTTAGGCGAATCAATGCTTTCAGTACACGTCGAGCAGAGAAGTGTACTTACCAACATACTTCTTCTCAAACTCTCCCGTGAGGTGGCGTTTCACAAATGTGGTCTTGCCGGTGCCTCCATCTCCTACCAGCACCAACTGTTGGCAAAACCACCCATATAATGATACACAAAAAAACATACAACCACTCAAGCACAAGTCTCACTTTTTCCTAAAAAAAATATCCTGAAATTGAAAGGTTTGCCAATGGCAGTTTTTTTTTGCCACGTGGGATGGCAAGGAGCACTCAGGGTTATACTCAACAGCCCATCGGAGCAGCTACACGTCGTGGGCTATCGAAAACCCATCCGGGACTACGGTGCTGCCACAGGGGAAGTATGATCGAGTCGGGCGAGGGCCCTCCTCCCCTCCTTCGGCTTGTGGCGACGGCACACCGGGTCACATTCGCCCACACGGTTTCGTCACTCGAAGCACTTCGGCCGCGTCACTGCTCCCCAACTACTCCCCCCTCATTCCACGTGGAGATACCAAACATCATACCCCAGTGTTCTTTATTGCAAGGTCCGCGGAGCCACTGGCGGACCCCGATAAACAAATGTGAAAACATCCCCATCGTGCCGTCACACACACCACTGGTTTCAAATGTGTAGCGGCCCTCACACTGATGAAAGTGACCCCAATGTAGGAAATGTGAGAAATTAAGGCGCTGTGTAACCACTTGCCTTGAACTGTACTTGGGGTTCCTCGTGTGCAGCCATACTTAATATCACCTGCACGTGTCACAGATATAGGACGTTGAATACCGTTAAACAGCAGGAACTATTAAACCAAAACATATTGTAGCTACAGCACATAGGCCTGTACGAAATTAACACTTTGGTTAAGTCAATCGCGTTATTATAACGTTATATTGACATGTGCCATCCTACCGTACGGTTTAACGCATTGACATTACCGCCCATGCTACAATGGAGCACATGGGCTCAACTTTAGTTTTTCCCTCAATTACACTAGTGTCGGACAAGTTATGTATCTACAAATAGCCATTCGCGTGCATAGGTCACACTTTACTTTTAACCGCCGAAATTATGTTACTCAACTGCATTCACCACAGGCAGTGAATGCACTTCCCGCCTTTACCATCGACACGTCTGAGCGCTCAGTATCCGGGGCCTCGGCCAAACGCCACACAAATCCCATTCCAAATCCCCGCGACAACCACAAAGCCGCCACAAGCTCCAGGCCGCGAGGGTGTGCGGGACCAGGGGGCCCCGCGGGCAGGCTGAACGACCAGGTAAGGCGAGAGGGCCCGAGTTTGAATGGCGGCCTAGTCTCGCTCAACAAACTGCGGCGTCTATTAAGAGCCGCCTCGCAGATTCTAACAGCAGGTTTGCGAGCTCGGCACGACTCCCGTTAATGTTAGTGCGCCAATTGGGGTTTGTAATGGTAACGGTACAGAGGGCGGAAAAGACAACTGTGACGGTGGTCGCGATGATGGGGGGGAAAAAGGGCGCCATTCCAACCGGGCCCAGTGAAGAGCGCCCGTGGGCCCCCCTCAGCCCGCGCCTCGCACGCGAATCGGGTCAAACCCCCGAGGAATTGTCGCAGCATCGCGTCCAAGGGATTCTGAACCCATCGCCAGCAATCGGCGGTCACGTACCAAGGGTCCCCGCGGCAAGGATGACGACGGATGGCGGCAGCCTACCTGGCTGGAAGAGAACACAGCAGAGGGGGGCAGCAGAAATGGCGGCGGGTGAAGCGGCGCGCTTTCGGATATCCCGGTAGTGACGTCACGCGGAGCGCGCGCGTTCCCGCGTGCCCCACCCCCACACATCCCCCACCCCCTCCACACATCTCCCCCACCCCCACAAATCACCCACCCCCTCCACGCATCTCCCCCACCTCCACACCCCCCCTCCACACATCCCCTCCCTCCACACCCCTCCACACATTCCTCCCCCTTCCACACATCCCCCACCCCCCACACACCCCCCCCCCCTCCACACCCCCCCCCTCCAGACATCCCCCCACCCCCCACACCCCCCCCTCCACACATCCCCCCCTCCACACCCCCCCTCCACACATCCCCCCTCCACACATCCCCCCTCCACACATCCCCCCTTCACACATCCCCCCCTCCACACATCTCCCCCCCCCCTCCACACATCTCCCCCCCACACACACATCCCCTCTACACCCCCCCCCTCCACACATCCCCCTCCCCTTCCACACATCCCCTCCCCTCCACATCCCCCCCTCCCACCCATCCCCCCCCTCCACATATCCCCCCCTCCACACCCCCCCTCCACACATCCCCCCCCTCACACACATCCCACCCTCCACACCCCCCTCCACACATCCCCCCCCTCCACACATCCCCCCCCTCCCACACATCCCCCCCCCTTCACACATCCCCCCCCTCCACACATCCCCCCCCTCCCACACATCCCCCCCCTTCACACATCCCCCCCCCTCCACACATCCCCCCCTCCCACACATCCCCCCCCCTCCACACATCCCCACCCACACACATCCCCCCCTCCACACATCCCCCCCTCCACACATCCCCCCCCCTCCACACATCTCCACCCACACACATCCTCCCCACACATCCTCCACCCCCTACACATCCCCCACACACCCCCCGAAAATGGACCGCCTTGGTCCTAATGTAGGTCTCATAATGTAAATCCTCGAGAAGATGTTGGGATTCGCCAAAGACCTCCATACTGTGCTCCCCGCCGAGGACGGAGAGGTGCCTTCGCTCAAGATCACCAGGTGCATACAGGCGCAGCAGACCCTGCAACGTGACAGCGTGTTGGTGGCGTACTCTGCATCTTCCGCGGAGCCCAGGGCCCACGCGGACGAGGAGCCTGCTCCCGCTTGCTCGCTGCATCAGCGGAGCGGCAATCGTCGGGGTGACAGCGATCGGCGGCGGGACGGTGGCGGGCGAGGTCTGCTTCGTCACAGTCCAGCAGTGGGGCGAGAAATTAAGACGCTGTGCTACAACTGTGGCCTACTGGGGCACGTCCAATCGAGCTGCCGGGTTCTGTGGTGCCGCCGCAGCGGAGCCGCTCCGTCGGGGCCGTACCCACCGCCGTGACGCCGCCACCAGTGCCTTGGATTTCCCGCCACTCTCCCGAGGCCGGTGGTCTCTCAGACGTCCGCTTGTGGTGCCGCCGCAGCGGAGCCGCTCCGTCGGGGCCGTACCCACCGCCGTGACGCCGCCACCGGGGAGTGACGACAACGACGCTGCGCCCCCCCCCCCCCCTCCGCATGAATACACGCACACCCCACACACACATGCCCCACATAGGGCCCGCGGGGTGGGTCACCTGGCCGACGGGTTTTCGTCCAGAAGCCCCTAATGGGATCAAGCTTCATGGTTTCCGGCGACCGGGGAATTGGGCGACCTACCCCCGAGGCTGACCAGCACCGCGGCGCCGTGACCTGATATTATAATGGCATGGTTACGGCAGGGGCGGTAAAGCCACCGCGGATGAGATCACACACACAGCACGGGTCAGTAGGCTGATAGCGAGGAAACAGAGAGCGGACGTCGGAGAGATCACTGCGGTGAAGCCTTCAGAGGAGGATCCGACCATCAAAAGGGCGGGAGAATCCCGGCCTCTGATTGTACGGAAGGCCAAGGTGCGGAACAGCGGGACGCCTTTGTTATAGGTAGGATTAGGGATCCAAATAACAAAGGGACAGGAATAGCCAGGCCTCTGATTGGACCGAGGGGCACGGGGTACGGGAACAGCGGGATGCCTTTTGTTATAGGTAGGATTAGGGATCCGAATGTCAAAGGGACAGGAATATCTCGGCCTCTGATTGGACCGGGGGGCACGAGCCCAGGAGCAACTGAATGCCTTTTGTTATAGGTGGGATTATAGATCCGAATATCAAAGGGCACGGGTGCGCAAGTGCAGGCACCGCGGAATGCCTTTGTGATAGGTAGGCTAAAAGGCAGGTGATTGAGACAGTAAAGGCAGAGTTCTTCCAGTCATCGAAGTCCACGGAGCATTGGAGCCGGCCGTTCGGATCATCCGTGTGACGAGTTTCAGCGCAGCCAGGCACAATCTTCTACAGAGACGACCCACAGCATCGCCCTTCTACAACTTCCAGCGCATCAGAGTGGAAGTAAGCGTAGGTAAGAGAGAGAGGTGAGTTTGGGCTATTTAATCGAGGGTAGAAAGCGGAGTGATAGGCAGGATAAATTGAATCTAGGATTCTCGAAGGATAGGTTAGCATCTACTGACCCACGCAAACCCACGTAGTTTAGCGGGTTACTCGCGGTGAATAAAATAGCTAGTAGGGGGATAAACTGTGTCATGTGGTCTTTGTGAGTGTGAAGAGGAGGGTGGAGTGTCTTGCGTTCGCGTGCACGTGCGGTTGTTTACAAAGAGGCGGAGTGCTTAGCGTGCGCATGCCTACGCGGCTGATTACGGGAGAGCTTAGCGTTCGCGCACCTGTGCGACTGTTCACGGGAGTACTTGGCGTTCGCGTGCCCGGGCGGCTGTTTACGGGAGTGCTTAGTGTTTGCATACCTGTGGGACTGTTTACGGGAGTGTCTTACGGTCGCGTGCATGCGCGGTTGTTTATAGCGAAGCAGAGAGCTAAGCACCTGGTGTGCGCGTATACGAGCGGCTGTTTAAACGGCCCTTTAAATCGGAGCGGAGTGACTCCCTCCAATCAGCGGCGCGCGCACGGCAGACGCCCTTGCCGTCTCACCCCCGACCCCAACTCCCTCGAGTGTGATTGGTGTACGGGGCTGGGCAGGTAGCGGCGACGGGTTTGTTATTGCCTGGTCGCGTAGAGCGTGTGTGTGAGGGAGTCACGCGTCGGCATACTGTACCCATTTGTTTACGTACGGGAATCACGCGTCGGCGCACCCATTTGTTTACGTACGGGAGTCACGCATCGGCGCGCCGTACCCGTTTGTTCACGTGCGGGACAGAGTCTTGTTTCGCGAGCGCGCTCACCGCAGCACGCCGCCACTGAACAGCGTAGCGCGTCGTAAGCGTAGAGATTGAAACATGCCAACGCGGTCAGCAACAAAGTCGGGGGTACAGGGGGGCAAGAAAGTGGAGGCTGGTAGCCCGGACCCCACAGAACAGCCGGGGGGTAGTGGGACGAATGTAACGGGGGAGTCGGGGGACAACGGCCCCAACAATTCGGTGATGGTGGGGGACGGTAGCCCCCACAGTTACTCCACGGCGGCCCCCGGGACGTCCATGTTCCTATGACTCCCTGCTCTCTAAGGCGAGTTGCGAGGCACCTCACACTCGGACCCGGGGTTCACTTCACCCATCGGGGGGGTCCGATTTGCGTCGGGGTCACGAGCGGTTTCGGGGGAAGTAGGTGCGTGTTCGCGGCACGCGGCCGCTCCGACCGGATCAGTGGTCGGAGCTGGCACATCAAGTGGTTGCGGCGACCGCGGGGTCGTCGGCTGTGCTTGGCTTCATTGAGGGGGTTGAAATTTGCATGCTTGTTGATACCGGCATGTCTTCAACCATTATTTCTGACCTCATTTACAATATTTTGCCCCCCGGTGTCGAGTTTTGGAGCCGGTGGATGCTCTGTGTTTCACCGCCAACGGCAGATCGTTGGGGATAATCGGTCGGATGACTGTTGCGTTGCGCATTGCCGATGTCACATTGTCGGGTCATGCTTTGGTTTCTACGGCCCTGGCTGTTCCGTGCCTGCTGGGGACTGATTTTCTCGGCAAAATGCCTCTGAAGATTTGTATCGACCAGGGCTGTTTGGAATTGCCGTTGGAACGGCGTATGACATTTCTCCCGTCTCCGACCCGCATGTATTCTGCTAATGCCACAGTCCAAGCGCTTGCGTGCCGAACAGTGCGGATTCCGCCCGGTGCGCAAATGTTGATGCCTCTTCGATTGCGTAAACCGCTCGACGCGCGTGCTGTGGGGGACGGTATTGTTTTGGGTCCCTTAAATAAGCTTAGTCGGGGGATGTCACTCATAGCGGCTCAGACGCTGGTCTCCCGGGACCAAGCACCGTTTATCCAAGTCCTTAATGCCGGGTCGGACACTACGGTCATTCAGGAGGGTTCTGTGATTGCACATGCATGTCTGGAGGCGGATGTCGAAGTTGGCGTTCGGGCCCATGGACCTCGGGATGTGGATGAGGCAATTGAAATGCACATGTCGACTTGATTAGATAGGAAAATGTAAAAATGCATAAAGAATAGCTAAAATAATTACAATTACAAATACTTGATAAATGCTCTTTGGTTATTTCGGTAAAGTTACGTAGGCCCCACCCTCTTGTCCGATGTGGCAACCCCTCCTCCCTCCCCCCTCTCGGGTCAATATAATGCTTCGTCCACAGCAGTCTGATTCTCTCACCTGAAGACGGTCGCTTGTTGTTGTGATCGAAACGTCGTGATCTATTATTTTTCTACCTACGTGCCTTTACCCGAAAGAACCAAATAGTATGGATTCTTGCAGTCATGAAAGCTTCAAATCAAGACTTGACAAATACCTTCAAAATAATTTGACACATATCTACTACGCTTTTTATATTATCGGATAAGCAAAGATAGATTTTATAATCTATATATAGTAATTACTTGTACGTGTCATTTATGTGCGTATCTTCCCTTCGACTAATATACTCTGACCAAGAATAGAAGTTGCCACAGGAAGTTGAGAAAAAGAGAATGGGTTTAGGTATACTTTTGATCACTTTGCATTCAAATGTTCTTTAAAAAAGCAGTTCAACACAGATACGAGTACAAAGAGCTAGTAATACGGAATGAAGAATTTTTCTCAAAACACTTGTAAATCTTCTACACTTCACTGCAAAGTTAAATGACATCATATCAACATTTTCCCTTCTACTAAAAATGATTGAAAAAATATATAAAAATGATTGAAAATAATTTTGAGGTCAATTGTACAATTGGTAATAAATCTTCATTTGAAGCTTTCGCGACTGCAGGAATCCATGCTCTTTGGTTCTTTCGGTAAAGTCACGTAGGTATCAAAATAAATCACGACGTTTCGATCGCAACACAAGCGGTCGTCCTCAGGCGGAAAACATGAACACAACTGACGTGCTTGCGTCCATGGATGGAATTCCTTTCCAGCTCAGACCCCACTTGCTTGCCCATCACCACATATATAGCCTCTTGTTGTAACAGCTCTCTCGCTGGTTCAGCAGCTACACTGCTGGATTATATTTTTTGCACCTGAGGACGACCGCTTGTGTTGCGATCAAAACGTGATTTATTTTATTTTATACCTACGTGACTTTACCGAAAGAACCAAGGAGAATGGAAATTAAACTTATATCAAACTCAAAATTCTAAAGCAACTCATTATGCGTAAAAAATATATACTTAAGGAGCGCCCCACGGTTTTATTTTTTTAGTTACAAACGTCCAAAAATTATTCTCATCAGCTGGTGATGGCTGAATTTTTTTTTAGTGCACTTTAAAATCAAACCGTTGGTTTAAAAAAGATATATAAGGAGTTTTTTTTTTTCTGGCAACAAAACAGGTGTTAAGATGTTAAAACACCAAACTGAAACCTTTTACAAGGAATCATGCCTGCATTAACCACAATGCTTGTGTTCAGAATGCAAACAAAAACATACTCTGATAATCTATGCAATATGTCCTTGAAACTGATGGGGGGGGGAAGGGGAAAACCAAACTAAAACTAAGTCTTCTTTGGTTCTTTCGGTAAAGTCACGTAGAATGAGAATAAAATAAAAAAATTGATAAAATAAAATAACACAATAAAATTCTCACGACGTTTTGGCCACAACACAAGCGGCCTTCATCAGGTGAAGGGACGAGACTGTCTGGAGGACAGCGCTGGAGCGAACAAAGCCAAGCTCAGACCGCGACCTTTAAGCTGTGTGAGAAGAAACAGAGCGTCTTGACAAAAGAATTATCATAGAATTTAGCATTGTCAAGGCGCTTTGTTTCTTCTCACACAGCTTAAAGGTCGCGATCTGAGCTTGGCTTTGTTCACTCCAGCGCTGTCCTCCAGACAGTCTCGTCCCTTCACCTGATGAAGGCCGCTTGTGTTGTGGCCGAAACGTCGTGAGAATTTTATTGTGTTATTTTATTTAATTTAATTTATTATTTTATTCTCATTCTACGTGGTGACTTTACCGAAAGAACCAAAGAAAGATTAATCCTTGCAGTCACGAAAGCTTTAAATCGAAAAATAAACACTAAGTCGTCCGACCAACTAGGCCCCCGTTGCCGTGGCGACGCGACGCGCTTCGCGACAGTTTCGCGACGCCGGGCGCCGTAAAGCAGCGCGGCCATAGCCGGCGGCGCGATGGAGGCGTTCAATGTGGACACGGGCGAGGCCGTGTACCGCTCCAGCGACCCCGTGAAGAACTTCAAACTCCGGTGCCGCCGCCCCTGCCCCTGCCGCCCCTGCCCCTTGTTGTTTATCGTCGTTACCGTCGGCACCGTCATCGTCACCATTGTCATCGACAATTTTTTTCCCTGTCCATTATCATCATCATCATCATCGCTCAACCTTTGCTCGCTCCATATCTGCATCGTCCCCCGTCTCCACCTCCGCTCCACCATCACCATCTCTGCGTTGTCCCCGTCATCATCACCAGACCTGGTCCGTTCTTATTGCCATAAGTTTCCCAGTCAACATCATCGCCGTCGAGAACCCGTGATGTGTCACCATCGCCACACTCGCTGTGCTTCTTGCTTGGTGCCATCACTGCTGCCTTCCGTCTGGGTCCATTCCTTGTTGATGGGGATGGGGATGGTGGTGGTGGTGGTGGTGAGGAGAAAGTAACCTTTGGAATTTTACGTGCTATGTCAAGAGGCAAGGCTGCTTGCAAGTGCCTGGAGGTGCGTGTTGAAGCGTGCCCCACACCCCCGACATGCATTTGAACTTGCGACCATCCGCAGCGGAGGGGAAAGTCGAGAGTTAAAATCCTGCTTGGAGGTTATCTCAGCCCCATCATCGTCACCATTGTCATCAACCAAATCCTGCTTGGAGGTTAACTCAGCCCCATCATCTCTCCGGGGTTGATTAAATGATTACCACTTTGTGGGGAAATCAACCGTGGTTGCCTTATGGAGAGACTCGCCCCCGCCATAGAAATGTAGAATTCCCACCACTGGCTCAGGGCTGTAAACAGGAGATGAGCACCACCTCATTGTTTATTTGAGGACGTATCAACCCCGTTGGTACTGAAACAGTTTCCCCCAACACCAGGTATAGACACTAGGTGAGTGCAATGCACAGATATATGGGGGGTCCGTTCTCTCTTATGCTCGCCTCACTCTCTGTGGCACCAGGATTCGGCTGAGCAAAGTGACGTCTGCCTCCGGGCTGGCCAAGCACGTGCGAGATGAGGAGCTGGCAAGGGGCGCAGGGGGAGATGGCATCATGGAGATGCAGAGCCTGGCGGCACGTGCTCCCGGTGAGCGGCCCGCGTGCATCTGTGTCATGGTCCAAAACTAACGATTTTTTGAAAAATAAATTAATCGCATATTACTTCATTAAGGGAGGCCACGTGGCAACGTCGCCCACCCAAATGTTAGACTCGTGCCCGTTTTGCTGTCTGGTGCTGCGTTCGCCTTTTTTCCGCAAAGGGACAGCTGCCCACCAGGCGTTCCGTGTTGCAGGGCACCTCGGTATGTGCTGTGGTGTAAACATTAAGCGATCGTGATAGTAACGGTACAGCTGGCGTTTGTGACACTGCACTTTAAACCACGGCATTTTACATTTTAAAAGGTTGATGTCAAGATTTAAATATTGTTTCCCTTTGACGTGGCAGATGAAGGCAACTGTTTGACAAAAGACTGACTTTTGATGTGCTGGCCCAGGTGGGGTCACTGGAATGAAGTCGGATGATGAGGAGGAAGTGGTTACGGTGAGCCTACAAGAGAAGCTCTTCAGCCAGGTAAGCCAAATCGGTTACCCACACTGGCAGAGCCAGTGGGGGGGGCACGTGCCCCCCCCCAGTGATCCGATCGACATCCCTAATTTCGATCGGATCATTGGGGTTTATTAGTAATAAATCGGCATTTTGCGACCCCCACTGCCACTAGGTAGAATATTATTACGTGCCAGGGACTCTATGAGATGATAGGACAATAGTCTGAGTCCATAAATGGCAATAAGTAGCGGCAAAGCAGTTATAAGTGACTCACATAATTGTGCGCAGTTGCGTATACAGTACACGACTTCCCTGAAGGCATCAACACCTTCAGCGAGAGGCGATGCCGATCACACAACGCGGTTCGAATTCGACCCTCGATCGATGGCTGCGATCGCCGCACACGCGTCGAATAAAAAGCAAGGGACAAGTCCTTACAAACAACTCCTTACTTACTAACAACTCCTTACTAACAACTCCTCTCTAACTAACAACTCCTTACTTACTAACAACTCCTCTATCATTTTTCATTGCTGGAGGGCTTGCCCCCCTACCTGAAAATTCTGGCTCTGCCATTGGTTACCCAAACCAATCAAGCTAACCGATTAGTCTCATAAGTTTCCTTTATTTTGATCCAGGTGAGAGACCATTGCGCAGTACAATTTTCTGTATATACTTTCCCAACTTTCATTAACCAGCATGGTGAAGTATGGTCAAATAACACAACTGCATGATGTAGGGAGGCCCTCATCCAACAGCATATGGACAAACGGGTGGCATATGTTCATTGAGAGTCAATTGTGAAATAACTTAATTTGCACAAAGGTTGCTTCACAGTTACTGTTTAAATGAAGTGCTGTGTTATAACACAAAAAGTATATTCTGTTTTTTGTAGTTTTATGATTAATTTTATTATGTTTGGCCTTTTCAAAGCACGAGTACGATTTGTATATCAACGATGCAAGCTGCCTGAGCCCCCTGGATCGGCAGTACCACTTAGAGATTCTGAAGCTGGAGAAAGCGGGCGGCCGCAAAAACAAACGCATCTTCACCTACACCGACTCCGATCGCTTCACCAACATACAGGAGGTATGGCCATGTGGCTCAGGGTCGAGCACGCGCTGCACAATGGAAAGGTTGTGAGTTCAAATGAACACCACTTGTTTCAAATTGTATTCACGCTAAAGGGATGATGGGCTGAGTCAACCTCCAACCAAGTTTTTAACTCGCAACCTTCCGATTGCGAGCCACTCTAGTCAACATTGGTCGCCCTATGGATAGACTGGATGCTGTCATAGGAATGGGGAATCCCTACCTTTGGTTAAGGACAGGAAACAGGATATAAGTACCACCTCCTTGACCATTTGAGCAGGAAATCTCTTTAACTTTTACTTGGCCTACACGGAAGAGGGACTGCTTATGAATTAATAACATGATCATTCCTATGCTTGCCATCCTTATTGACTTAAGCTGTAGAATGCTTTGAAAATTTAAAAAGTAAAAGAAACCGGCAATGTACTGTTTATATCTGTGTGGTTGCCAATTATTATGCATTACTACTGTATAAGAGCTGCACATCACAAGTTTCAGTGGATATACAAAATGGTGGAGCAGGAGTCAACGCACTATTCTTTAAACCGTACGACCTGAATTCGACTTCCAGCCATGGCTGACATCGGTGATGAGTTTTTTCTGAACCAATCCTGGATGCCCACCCTTCACCAACCCACACTGACTTACCTTCGTGGTAAAGTATGGTTTCAAATAGTCCCAATGAATGACGGGAGTATGAGTGGGGGATCACTGATTCATGTGGTTGTTGCAGCAAACGGGCGGCTATGGGGTTGGAGAATCCTCATTCCTGAGTGAGAGAATGGCCATGGTCCGAAAGAGACGGCAGGACAGACGCTACATGTGAGTTTAACGTTCTAAGCTGTAAGTATTTTAATGTTTCAGATCAAACTATGCTCCCCACAGCTACCAACCCACACCAGCGTGGTTAGTAGGGAGGCCCTCATCCAGCAGTGGGTTGACAAGAGAGCTGTACATGTACACGTGTTAATATAGAATGAGTATTCAGATTTGTGAATTGTTGATAAGCTGGTAGATGAGGTTAACATTTACGTGTATACATGTTACATATTCTTTGGGTCTTTCGGTGAAGTCGCGTAGATAGGTTCAAAGAAAATAACCAAAAACTACGACGTTTTCATCGCAACACAAGCAGTCGTCATCAGCAAAAGGGGGGTTAGCTTCTAAAGACAAACTGCTTATAAAGGTTTGAAATGGGCATAGCCCAAATGTCAGCAGCCAATGCAAGTGGTGGGCAGCGACCGCGGCGGTGGTGGGCTTTCCACCAATCAAAGGGCTGCCAGGCAAAAATCAGCATGTCAATGCAAGATCGCCCAGCATCCTCCACGGCGAGCGTGCCAAAGTGGCTATGGTAATGTATACAGCTACCTCGCGCGCCATCCTTGAGGCTGCTACTTCACAATCTCCCATTAACATGCTAATCTCTTACATTAACATAGCCACCTTGGCGCACTCGTCGTGGAGGATGCTCGGCGATCTTGCATTGACATGCTGATTTTTGCCTGGCAGCCCTTTGATTGGTGGAAAGCCCACCACCGCCACGGTCGCTGCCCACCATTGGCATTGGCTGCTGACATTTGGGCTATGCCCATTTCAAACCTTTATAAGCAATTTAAAGCTTTCGTGACTGCAAGGATTCATCTTCTTGGTTTTTTTCGGTAAAGTCACGTAGAATAAGAATAAAACAATGAAACAAAATAAGACAATACAATTCTCACGATGTTTCGGCCACAACACAAGTAGCCTTCAGGTGAAGGAACAGAACTGTCAAATTGAAGCGCTGTCGTCCCGACAGTTCTGTTCCTTCACCTGAAGAAGGCTACTTGTGTTGTGGTCGAAACGTCGTGAGAATTTTATTGTCTTATTTTGTTTTATTCTCATTCTACGTGACTTTACCAAAAAAACCAAGAAGATGAACCTTCATAAGCAGTTTGTCTTTAGAAGCTAACCCCCCTTTTCCTGATGACGACCGCTTGTGTTGCGATCGAAACGTAGTTTTTGGTTATTTTCTTTTAACTTATCTACGTGACTTTACCGAAAGACCCAAAGAATATGAATTCTTGCAGTCACGAAAGCTTTAAGTCAAGATTTATATATGTTACATTTTTTACAATACTTTAGTCAGGCGGTGGTGGCACATGCCTGCAATACACCATTGGAGGCAAGGATTGGTTGATCACACAAATTTTGTGAAACTCCCTTTCTCGTGGGTGGCAAGGCGCCATGCCCTGGCTTGCCAGGAGAATGCGATTCAGTGAAGTGCGGACGAATATAATCTGCCCTAAATATATGGGATAGTGTTGTTCCCACATGCGTTTGTTTTCTCTGGGTGCCTCCCACATATATAAACACTCAATAATTGGCTTAAAACATCTGCATATATAGGTACTTCCGTGTTTTCTGATTGTGCAACATTGTGAGATGCAATTTTCCTGAATTACCCTATATAAAGCACTCATTAATATTATTCTTAAAATGTGATATAAATTGGATCTTGCTTGCAGGGAAGGCCTGATCCCAAAGTCGCAGATTATCACGTGGGAGCCAACAGATGACTTCAAGCGCCACAACCACGTCATCAGCACCCCAGTGCAAACCATGTACATCATGGCAGACCTCGGGCCACATGGCAGGTGAGACACTGCTCCTCGCAAACAACTGAGACGTTGTGCCACACGGACAGCATGCAAGCCTTTGCTCACATGTGCCGAGCTAATCGTGTAATAGACAAAGATCCCCCATATTCTCTTAACATACTTTTGGGGCAAGTGCTGTTAGCAAGCGCCTATGAAGGCTGGCCCGGCACACGAGGGGGTGGGTTGCGAACACCACGCCCAGCCGTCTTTGTCTCCCACATGGCGATGTTTACACACGCCACCAGGTACTCAATTAAAGCTGAATCGACCAGATTATCGTCACTGGTGTTGGCCGTGAGCATGAATCGAACTCCGATCGATGGGTTTGTCGCTACACTACCACGCAATTTTGTGTCGCGCACACACACACACGTGGTAGTGACAACTATCTCACACTAGTGGGCGTACGAGAGAGCATGTTTAATAATACGCCTGATACATGTCGCTGATACGTGTATTCTAAACTTGTATTGAAAAATAATTTAATTCAATTTGTGTTTATTTAACATCTAAATGTGACTGGATCTCAAAATGTTGTACCAGTAGGGAGGACAAGCACATGGAGATAATTTAGAGAGAGATTAGTTGAATACATTTTATTTTATACTGAACACAATTTTTAATGGCAAAAAACTACGTGTGCTATGTGGGATACCTGAGTTGACTCCACTCAACTAACAGGAGGCTGCTCAAGTAACTTCTTGCTGTTGTTGTGGCTCTTACTTGTCTCTGATGTCAGGTTGGGGCAGGAGGAAAATGAGGTTGTTCTGTGTACAGTGAAAGTGGTTGGAAATGGGGTCATAACCATCAAGCCTGACTTCAGTGGCTGCAAGGGCCCTTACAGGTGAGTGAGTGCTCCACATTTTTGCAACTTGCCAAGTCACGACACGCAGATACATTTAATCTCTGAAAGGCAACTAAATGTCATCCACAATTGAGCAGAGCTTGAGAGCTTGTGGATGTGTACACGTGTGTATGTGGTGATGCCGTGGGAAGCAGTAGCATAGTGGTTAGTGCACTACGCTACCACTTTGGTTTCCCGAGTTCGATTCCTGACCGCAACAAACATTAGTGGTGATTATCTCAGCCTAAAATGAGTACCTGTTCCTTTATGTAAATATCAGCACTAGGGAGACAAAGGCGGTCAAGCATGATGCTGACCAGACCACTCCCTCTTGCATTGTGGCAGGTTATATTGGTGTTCGGTAACAGCACTTAATCTGTCACGGCTACACGGGGGAACTTTGTCTTTGTGGACATGCCATGCCAGGATCGAGGTGGACGCGGAGAGGAGGGAAGTATGGAAGTACACGCTGGACCATGCCTCCAACCCCATCCGGCCCAACGAGCGCGAGCGGGAGCAGCGCATGTATCGCGACGTGCGTGTTCCCGCAGTGACCATGCACTAACGCCCTGTGGCTTTACATAGCATCCAACTTCACTCTAAGATACAATGGGCATGTTTATTTTATAGAGAGATGCAGTCACTCATATGTTGCTATAAGATTCTATGGGTCTCTGTGAGTCTGTGGGTCCCTATGCAGGTATATGGGTTGCAATGTGAGTCAGTTGGTTCTTATGTGAGTCTTTGGACCACTGCGTCAGTTTGTATAATACAATGTGAATTTATATAGAATCTAAATGCATCCACATCTCATGATGCTGGACAGAGACCATGAGCATGTATATATTATATAGAAAGTCATACACCTAGGTATAAAATTTTGAGCCTGGCTTTGAACATGGCCAGTGAGGAGACAGCACAGATGGCTGGGGAAAGCGAGTTTCAGACTGTAACAGTAGCGAAAGATGATGAATGACCTCACACTGACCTGAAAGTTAACCCTTTGTGTGATGCAAGCACACGGATGTTTCTAATTTTGTCAAATGTGTACTCCATTGTAGCTGTACACTCGGCACACAGAGTATCTGACCAGTCTGGTGGGCAGCGAGTTTGAGATGGTGAGTATTGTAATTATCATATTCTTAAAATCACATTTCAACCTTTGACCCAAATCACCCTGAATGTGCCCGATCTCATCGAATCTTGGAAGCTAATCCAAGTTGAACATGGATAGCGATTAGGTGGGTAACCACTATGCATGTTTGGTTGTTGTAGGCTCAGGGCTGCAGCAGGGCTGCACGGTGGTCAGGAGAAGGCAGTGCAACAAAATACATCGTTGCACTTCACTTCTATGCCGCCATGTCTACGCTCCCTGCCTTAATCAACCCACAATGACCAAAGTGGTCAAGTGCGGTCAGATAACCACCATGACCCTCATGGTGTGGAGGTTGACGGTCAATTTACAAAAGGTTGTACATGAGAATAGGTTTTCCCCTTTTTTTCTGGCAACAAAACAGATGTTCAGATGTTAAAACGCCAAACTGAAACCTTTTACATGGAACCTTTTACAAATAATTTTACAAGGAATCAGACATGGTTTCAGTTTGGTGTTTGTTGCGGTTGCACCCGACTTAAGAGCCGCATGACTCACAGGGCTATACCTAATAAATGAAACTTGAAACTTGAACACCTGCTTTGTTGCCAGAAAAAAAGGGAAAACCTATTATCATATTTTGGTCCTGGCAAAGGAGGTCCCATGATGAAGGTTGTATATGTGCAAGACGGTGAAATATTCGTGTATTCTAGGTTTAAAATGTTTGATTTTTGACGCTCTGTGTTTTGTGCTCTTCCAGCCACCGCCCGGGATACTGAGGCTGGTTGTCAATGGGGAAATTGGTGAGTTGCCAGTGACCTTCCTGTGTTGTGTGATGTTTCCTGCAAGGCGTGAGACTTTAATGATAACATAGCATTGCTGTACTGCAAAGTGGTGTCCTCTGTCCTTTGCTCCAGTGTCCGCAAAAGACTTTGAATACGACAACCTCTCCGTACGCATGTTCGTGGAAATGCCCACAAGTAAGTCGTTGGTGCTAACAGGGCTTAATTTCTCCCTGCATATTTTACAAGTTGCTTGTTTATCGTACATTCTGTTCTGGGCTCTCACCCCCTATGTATATGAGGAATGGCCGTTATTCATCTTAAATATATGTACCGATACCCATTTACGTCTCAGAATTTATAAGGGGGGCCGAGACCCCAGCAATCTCCCCGGCTCTATGGGGCTGCTCTATGGCGCTGTTGTATGGGTTGTGTTTTCTGCTTCAGACTGGTCAAGCAACCCGAATGAGCAACTGTTCTGGGTGACTCATACTTGCGCAACCAAATCAAAGAACAAGGTATGCCCTTTTGGCTAAAGACTCCTTTCACCTTTACTTTTTAAACAAAGTATAATTAAAAAATGTCATTAATTTTTTTTACTTTGGTGGAATTATATTGTTCAACAGGTGGAGTTTGACTGATTATATTATTAGTGCAAGAAGGCTGTGTATCCAGGCAGTGTACCCGGTGATGATGTTGGAATGTGTTTATGTGTTGTGGCCAGAACAATGTGGCCCATTTCTCCTTCCCATTCAGCTTTGAAGCCTTCTTCAAGAAGGAAGATGAGAGTGATGGTGAGCTATTCATTCAATTCATTGTTACATGCCAACTGTATAAATCAAAGCGCTACACTGTCGTGGTTTCCTAGGTGCCAACTAGCCAGCTACTTTACCCAGCTAAAAGTGTATTGTGGGTAGTGTGTCAGTATCTGAAGGTGGATTGGGATGTTTGCATAATTCCATTAATGATTTTTGGGCTTCATGTGGAAGCACACCAGAGTGCCTGGAGAGAACCCACCACATACCAGGGGATGATAACGCTCAAAGCTTCGCAGAGATGGATTTGGTCAATTGGATTTGGTCACTTTCCTATACTGCTATCTCTTGCTTCATCTCGCCACACAAACCTTCAACACTTTTTATTCTCAGGCATTCCCCGATCCAATTACTAATCAGGCTCAAATCTTGCTTAGCTTCTGAGGTCGGACAAGATCGGGTGCATTCAGGTTGATTTGGTTATAAGTTGGCGTATTATTCTTGCGACTGGGATTGAAAAGTCCCTTCACACGCTGTCTCATGTGCAGTCTCCCTGCCTCATTGGCCGACCCTGTACATGGAGGTCGTCTCCGTGGACTTTTGGCACCGGTACCGCACGGAAGGCTACAGCTACCTGCTGATACCCAGCATGCCTGGTAAGCTCCATGGTCCTTTGATGGAGCCTTCACACATCAAAGAGCAGTTTACTGGCATCATGCCCAGTCGCGTCTTGTTAACAAAATGATGAAATTGTGTGCAGGCTACAGCGAGGTCGTGTGCCAGGCGTGGCGCCCAGTCCAGCCCGGACTTACATCTGAGTTGAGGAGGTTTTTCATCGGCGGGTTCAATGAACTTGAGGATCCCACCTATGTGGCGATCCCCTCTACTTTTCAGGTCCTTCCCAACTCACTCACGGTTTCCCAAACTTCAGTTCTTGCAACCCGGTCCATCCACCTTTCCACATTTACCAGTATTATAGATTCTACAGACTGTGAACTGTGCTGTCACAACGTCGCACATGCTTTATTGCAACTGACGTCATTTATTATCGTAGGCGATGAAAGCACATTCATACAACCAATTACACTGTGTGATGTACACTGTGAGTTAAGGCTGCGCAACTAGGCCAGGGTTTCCCAAATATCAGTTATTGTGACTCGCCACAGTCTCATCACCTTTCCACACTGAGCAAAGTTCTACATCTACAACATATACACATCAATAGATGTGATAACCCTAACATCCCTTGCCCCAACAGCCTATGTAGGCTACTCGGGGATCTCTGGCTTTGTTGAATAATGTGTGATTTGTGTGTGTTTGCGTATAATCTGCTGTGTTGTTACAGGGAGACAAGCTGAGCAGGTATGGCTTCAAGACTGAGACCACGGGTAGCATCACTGTAAAGCTGCACTGCATACAGCAGTCCAGGTGAGCGTCACAGTACACCGCCTTCCTATTGGCACTGACTTGAGTGAGAAAAAACATCACCTGCAGAAAAGTCAACTCCATCTTACACTACAATAATAACACTATTACACCACCCACCTCACCAACCCTTTAGTGAGGGTCGTATGAACACATGCTTTTTTTGTAATCATCATCATGATTGTCATCGTCAGCCATGGGTTATCCACTGTGAGATGAAGGCCCCTCCTCACATTGTCACCATCTCTCCCGGTCATGCGATGGCACAATCCAGCCACAATGCGCAAGAGTTATTTTCATCGCTCGCTCTCTTTTGCCTTTCTATCACCAGCCTCGTCCCTTGGCCAGCATTCTTTCTAACGATAGTAATTATGCACCAAGGATGCAACCCAATATACTCATAGTTGTTAATTGTATAGCCACATACATAGACTGTGTGTCCTAGGCTGCCAAACATATGTTTCGAACTTGAGTCGTGAAAATTCGCCAAACATCCCAATGCGGGACCATCCTGAAAAATAATCTTGAGACTTTTTTGGGTGAAGAGGTTAATGAATATATGATAAACAATAAGTATATGATATCTTATTGGGTTATGTCTTTCTTAATAAGAAATATAATATGATTGTACAATGTGGTTAGGATCTATATAGTGTCTGTATAATGTGACCGCATCTCATTTTTACAACACCATGAAAACCGTTTAATGTATGCGACTGCGACACTTTGCAAACGGTGTACATTTCACCTCGTTGCTGGGTTTTTTCTTTGTTTGGTTTGGTTCCTCGCAGGGCATTTCAGGACACGAACAACTCAAAGCAGAGGATGTGGAGTGTGCTGGATCAGCTGGGTGGCTACAGCCAGCAAAGTGCCATTCACAACGTGCTGGGTAAGGCAGCAGCTACACGTGGAAGCGGTTACGGGAATAAATCCTAGTCTGCCTGGCGAAGCGTGCCTCAATCTAGACATGTGGAACAGGTTATTGGAATAACTTGGTCCGTCCGTCATGAGACGCCTTTTCCTTTGTAGCTGCGGTTCACACCGCAAACCATTGTAACAACACCACAAAGTTACAAAGGGTACCCCGATGCCTTTTGATGAAAGCAATATGCTACACATGCAAAAGTAAATCAGACCACACAGACATTACAGCATGGCTACACACCGAAAGCACACTTGCGGTAAAATACAATTGTAATCGTGTCACTCGTAATTAATTGCAATCACATAATCACAGAACAATGCATTCGTGATTATAATGGAGCCCTGGTCTCAAGTCTTAGGTGTTGTTTGTGTTGGTGATTTTGGGTACAGACGTTGGAAACGTTCCAGAATTTTTTTTTATTTATAAAATAGTTTGAACAAATAATTACGTGTGCACGTTTGTATTGCGTTTTTTTGCAGAAGCATTCCAGCGCGCACGACAGCGGATGCAGGCCTCTCGCGATACGCTGCCCACCAACCTCATCACGAACCTACAAGCAATGACGACTGCAGACAGCACCACCTAGTCTCAGCCATAGTTATCAGCGTGTAATGATGCATCAATTGATGATTCTTAATCTTATGATGAATGCATCGAATTATGCACATGCATGAGAATCGATGTTTGTCGACATATATGTTGCTGTATGTAGTAGCTTTACGTTTGCTCCATCAGCCACTAAAAGCGCTATGATTCACCTGCAATACAAATAATAACATGTTCGCATTGTTTTTAGTCTTGATTGGTATTTTCATTATTTGTCTATTTTGTACAGTTTTGTTCTTCATTGGCCTCAATATATTGTAGACATAATTGTAATACATTTGCATAAATAGGAAATAATACATTCTAACAGACATTTTGATTGATTGGAAGTATATAAATTAACTCTTAATTACGTGCCGAACAATAACGCAGTCACCTTCAATACCTGCCACGGGCACTTCTTCAACATATTTTCCACAATCGTGTTCTGGAAAATACAAGCCTCCCATTGAGCGGGAGGGAAAGAACGCCGCGGATGAATTACACCGGTGCAAGATTCAACTGTCCACTTGGTTTGGCGAGTTTCCAGTACGGAAATTAAAGGAAAAACACAATCTGTTCCGGATCTGTCTTCACTGGCATTGGATTGACGCTGAGCATGTGTAGGTGAAGTCTCATTTAGAAATGACTGCTAAGCTAAAGTATGCATTGTTAGTTATTCCAGAGACATTGCCTGCCTTTTAGTGTAACGCACTAACTCGTAACTTTGCGTCCATTAACAGCTGCTTATATTAGAGCGGAGTGTGAAAGGTTTTAATTATCATTCCACTGAGCCTTGTCTTTAGTAATGTCCATTAACACATGGACTCGATATCAGTTGACATGTAATTTACAAGGGTTTGTCAATGTAATGCTGGATGTAGGGTTCCCCATACTGTGTTGATCTTGGGGGTTTTGTGACCATACTTCACCATGCTGTTCAGTGTGGATTGGTGAAGTCGGCAAGGGGACCCAGCGACCAGTTCAGATATAACTTGCCACTGACATCCGTGGCCAGGAGTTTAGCAAAAATCACTACACCAAATGCAACTTATTTTAGTTTGACATGTATTTTTTATTCTTGATATTTCAGAAATAGACTGCATATGTTTTTATTTGTAAAGAATAAAGCAATTTCTTACGACATTTTGTCTTTTTTTTATTACAATATCATTTATTGAAAGTAGTTCATCATCCCAAGGGCTCTGATTGTGGCATGCGTAAGTATTTGCCTGTACAAAACAATAATTTACAGCCCTTGGTCAGTCCATTGCTGGATAAAGGCCTCCCCCACAACTGTATCAGACCTAAATTGGTTACAAAAAATATGTATCAGCTTAAAATTGCACCAGCCATCACTTGCTATGAACGTGATCTTACATAAACATCTGGATGCAATTTAAATCGCAAGGAGTTTGCGAGGATGAATAAAAGACGCGTCAAAAGGGTCATTAACCTCAATGGGATAATGGCTAAACAAAGAAGAATGTGAATAGGCTCGCGTAATTGCTAAAGTTGGCATGCCGTAATCAATGTGAGTGGGGTGTCGTGGTTATATTAAGTAAAAATATCAATTTGTTTAGTTAAAACAGGAGTCAACAGTTTAGCATACTCTTATATAAGCGCGCAGAACTTTATCTGCTATGGACGCTGCACTTTCCGTCGTTTTCATGCAGGGGGCGCTGCAAACCACGCGCCCACTGCATGAACGACGGAGGCGCAGGGTCAGACGTTCGATCACGTTGGTATCGATCTGCAGACGGCGGTCTTCTCGCACGGCCATGCAGCTCCACGTCGCCTGATCTCGATCCCGCAATCACAAACAGGTGAAAGTCCGCGTCGAACCGAACCCCCCCCCCCCCCCCAGCAATGCCATCTACTTAACGACGAGAGAAAATTCACACGAAATGTCCTTTTCAATGAAGTCGACCCAGATGTAAAATGATATAAGCTTTTTAATGAAGAAATACAATTATCTAATTAAAAACATAATGCAATTTTAAAAATGTTTTCATTTGAAAACTTCAAAACGGAGGATCGGGGTGCTTGCGTGAATGCGTCGTTTGTGTGGAATTTTTTGGTGACTTTCCTGGCCGAAGGCCGTAAATGTGTTTTTATAAAACACTTCATATGGACTACAGGTAAACAAAGTATTACCCTTTATTAAATGATACGTAATCTTAATGAACCAGCAAATGATTAATATCAATTAGCTCGCTCGGTTAAAGGAGGCAGTACATCTCAATGGACCCAAATGATTTAATATTGTTAAAAGCAATAATACATCGTAATAGGCTCGCATGTTTAAGTAATAAAGTCAATGGCCTGACGTAAATAAGCATACGGTTAAATCAAAGATACCAATGACTCTCGTAAGTGAAATAACAACATAACAATGGACCTGCACGGTTGAGTGAGGATAGTAAAACGAGGTAATAATAAATAAGACGGAGTTAATTATCGATTATCTCGCGTGGTTGAATAAAGGATTGCATGGCCTCACTCGCAAAGTTTAAATAACGATTGCAGTACAATACTTTATTCAGAAACTTTACAGAACACACACCAACCAAACAATTACCAATTGTAGCTTGACTTAAAGCTTTCGTGACTGCAGGAATTCAATATTATATTTGGGTCTTTAGGTAAAGTCACGTAGATGGTTAAAAGAAAATAACAATCTTCGTGATTTTAACGAAAGACCCAAAGAATATGAATTACGAATGATATATTCAAGCACGTGCGATTAATATCAACGGTCTGGTGTGGCATTCACAATTAAAGATTCGAACAATAACATGAATATAAATTATTATTATTATCAAGATGAGGTTCAATGTTTGAATCAAGAAGGAGCAGTGGTGGTGGTGGTGCGAGGGGGGTGTGAGGGGGGGTGTGTGAGGGGGGGGTGTGGGGGGCGGTGTGAGGGGGGGGGTGTGAGGGGGGGTGCGGGGGTGAGGAGGGGGGGTGAGGGGGGTTGTGAGGGGGGGTGTGAGGGGGGTGCGGGGGGTGAGGAGGGGGGGTTGTGAGGGGGGGGTGTGAGGAGAGGGAGTGTGAGGGGGTGTAAGGGGGGTGCGGGAGATGTGAGGGGTGGGGGGGGGTGCGAGGTGTGAGGGGGATGTGAGGGGAGGGGTGCGGGGGGGTTCGCGACTTCTCGCGAGACGCGGCCGAGACGAGAGGAGCCCGGGCCCCGTTTGAAGATGGCGGCAAACGCGGACGAGTCCGAGTGAGTGAAGCGAACGATGCTTCTGCTGCTGATGCTACTGCTGATGATGATGTTGATAAACAACAACGACGAGAAGAAGCTGCTGCCGATGATGATGGTGGAGAGGCCTTCTAGTCCTTCCTCCCCCCCCGTTCGTCGGCATAGTTTTAATTGCAATGAGCGGCGGGGGGTGTAAGCGAGTGCCGGGAGGCTGCGAGTCGGCGGGTTTGATTTGAATTGTGCGAACGAGAGGAGGGAGCGGTTTGTTTGTTCATCAGCATCATCATCGTTGTGGTGGTGGTGATGAGGGTGATGGGAATGAGGAGGTTGATGTGGCGAAGGGATGATGAGATGATTGAGGAGATTGGAGGTGAAGGGATGATGATGAAAGGGATGATGATGAAAGGTTTGATGATCGTTATGATGAGGTTGTTGGTGACGATGGGATGGGATGGCAGGGTGATTACGATGAGGTTCACGGTGGTCGAGGGGTTGATGATGGTGATGATGATGAGAGTGGGTGGTGATGATTAAGGAGATGGTTGATCATTCTGAGTGGTGTGATTTTTGCGGAGTATTGGTGTGGTGCGAGGAGTTTTGGATTGTGTGTGTGTCAAAAGTTGTACGATGCCTGGGTTTAGTATGGGCGTGTATATATTTGGCGTGTGGTTTTGTATGGAATGTGGTGTTTATGTTGAATGTGGGGTGTGTTTTTTTTCTACAGCGAACCGGCGGCGTGTGCGCGGTGTTATATGTTGCTGCTTTTAATGTGGGTAGTTTTGTAAGGCGTGTAGTTTTGTATGGTGTGCATGTTGTATGCGTGTTGTGTGTGTGTGCTTTGTTTGTGACTTGCTGCATTGTGGTGTTTGGATTCATGTGCAGCTCTGTGCAGTGCGCCGAAGCGGATCTCATGCCGGTAGAAGTTGACAATTCCTGCATACAGGTAAAGTTTCTAAATAAAAAAAACACGTTTATATTTACATTCTACATTGTGTATGGTGTGATTGTACTAGATCTAATGCACGTATGTAGTTGCATTGCTTTATATGTGCCACTTGATAGCCTGGGCACCGTTCCACACGCTATGTTCCATCTCCAGGGATTATCCAGTCTAGATATGTTTTATTATTATTATTACGTGATATTAAATTACTGTAATCTGACCATAGATCATTACCAAAATGTAGTAATAACGGAGCGGCAGCCAAGGAATTAAACTTGTCCGAGACTGCGTCCACCGAGATGAGAGATGCAGCGACGATATCAAGCTCTTGGATTATCTCTCAAGGTCTTGAGATATAGCAGCTGCTTAGGGGAAGCCGTCACCCAGCAGTTGATTGACCATGGCTGAAGATGATATATACACGTGTGTGTTTGTGTGCGTGAAGAGAGCCCATTGAAACGAAAAAAAAGTGAAACCGGAGTTACAAAAAGGCTTAAAAAAATATTTTAAAAAAGTACAACGATCTGTAATGATTGCTCATAGTGCAACAAAATGCCCGATGCCACTGGAATGCGTTCTAATTAACTCGGAGCAGGGCAGGCACTGTGAAGAAAGGCGGCCGTGTTTGCGTTACGTCTGATGTCTGCAAGTGCCAGAGTCGCCATTCTTTTTGATGCAGTCAGCGCGATCTGCTGCGGTATTTGAGGCCAGTTTTCACCACAAGTCAACAAACTATACCCAAGTGACTTTCTAATGTGGTGAACATGTCCTTGTGGTCGGCTGTAACTGACGCCAAATACTGGACAGTAATAACTCATGAATGTCCTTTGCCCAGGAACGTTTTCACGAGTCTCAAAACTCTTATCAGGATCGGTGCTGCCTACTACATTGGGATGTTTAGCAATTTCCATACATTAGTATTTGGTATGTGTGAGGCAAACGAGCACAAGGAAACCCATGCATATGAGGGGGTTAACACTCAAAGCTCCACACAGGTTAATTCAAAAATAATTTGCTGTACTGCCATCTCCTTCATAATAAAGGTTTTTGGGTTAGATCGCGTTATTTATAAATGTGTCGAAACCCTCCACCACCCGACACGGCCAATCAGCAAAATAAAGTGTCACGTTGACAAAAGACAATTAGTTCACTACTTTAGCCCACCGGTTTGTTGAAGAGTGAATCCACAACATTTACAGTTTGAATACGACATTCTGGCGAATTGCCCGATGATGCTGGATGTTATTACCAGCGAAACGTCGTATTCAAACTGTAAATGTTGTGGATTCACTCTTCAACACACCAGTGGGCTAAAGTAGTGAACTAATTGTCTTTTGTCAACGTGGCACTTTATTTTGCTGATTGGCCGTGTCGGGTGGTGGAGGGTTTCGTCACATAAATAACGCGATCTAACCCAAAAACCTTTATTATGAATAATATTGGTCGCGAAAGCCTACGTGTTAAACTGCCATCTCCTGTTCACCTGGTCACGTCGCAGTCGACGCCTGTCATCATAACTGAGCGGATTATGTCCATGGATGCTTTCAATATTTTGCGATCTTCAGCATCTCTCATGGCGGGTTCCATCCAATTTCTCACATTGTCCCACCAAACTAATCCTTCCTCTACCCTTCCAGCTACAGTAAAACCTTGGATCGCGAGTAACTTGGTCTGCGAGTGTTTTGCAAGACGAGCAACATTTTAAAATCAATATAAATTTGATAAACGAGCGAGGGTCTTGCAATACGAGTAGCACGTATACGCTTTGTCTGCCGAGCGTCACGTGATCACAACTGATATACGAGTGCTTGATATACGAGTGCTTTGGATTACAAACACGTTTCCGGAACGAATGTACTTAACAGGCTCAATCCCTGTTTTCCAGGAGACGGTGGAGGAGGTGGGGGCCGCTTCGGAAGATGACCCCGTGAGGAACCTGGGCCAGGTGGAGCTGCAGTGCGGCATCTGCCTCAAGTGGTTCACAGCCGAGAGCTTCGA